AAAGCAAAACGTAGGCAGCAACATGACAAATCCACCTGGGTAAAGCTACAGACTGAAGCAGTCTAAGACTTTGGAACCTCCATTGTTCCTCTGTGCTCTTACATTTTAAAGGAAAAATGTACTGTTAACCTTCTACTGTTTACTACGACTGTCACTACTTGACATAAACCTTTTAAAGCCTAAGCCTTTATCCCAGTGGTTCTTGCACAGATTGATAGGTTCTTGCTCAAGCAAGCAACTCTATTTTTTCAGTACAATGAAACTAGCAAATGTGCAAAGTTATACAAGAAGAACTCTGGACTTCATCTGCCTTACTTTTACTATCACCAAGCATAATATACGACAAATTTATGTAAGTGTTTTCAACTGCTAGGACCCAAGAGATGTCGCCTGAGAAAGCTTAAAACAACCAGTCATATCCTATCTGAAAGATGACATTTGGAACAAAAAGAGATAAGGTGGTTTCCCATCCATGGAGTTCATATCTTTTGTTATCTGGAATCATTTAGAGCCTGATTTTATTAGATAGAACAAAACACAACGCAGGACCTCCTGACTGGTTTATTGTTCTATGTCGAAATGAACATTTTATTTTGTTGACTCTGGGCATCTAATGCTTAAATTAAAGGGCAAATGAAAGTGCTTACATTTGTTTACACAACCATCTGGAAGAGAGGGTGACCAGCTTTTGAAAGTCTGTGTTTTAGTTTGATTTTTGACACAACTATAACTGCAGTCTGTCCTTTGCATGATTCATAGTTTCTTTCCTCCCAGAAAGAGTAGACAATTAAATACAGTTTCTTTCAATAGTTTAGTGTATACTAAGAGTAGTGTGTATATGTATGAGTGCTCGCACACAGTATATGATGGACATATATGTCCACAGGCCATCCTGCGTCACGCTCCCTCTTCCAGGCCCCTGAGTTCTGCTAATGTTTAACAGAGCAGACCTGCCATGCAATCTTTCCCTCACAGGACCAAACGGTGCACAAAACAAAGGGATTGCATTCACCTCCTCTGTCTGAGGAAATATAAATTCCCAAGTCTAATATTATATTTCTAGAAAGGAGAGATAAAGGCTCCTTTTTATGTCACACAAACATACTGTGTATAAAAAAACTATACTGTACACAGCTGTTGAAACAAATGGACGAGGAATCCCACATGCATAAGCACAACCTTTTGAACAACAGTACAGTCAACATGCCATACTGACAATGTCTTAACCAAAGAGTCCATGGATATATAATAAAAAACTGCTTTCTGATACAAACTAAGTGTAGTGGTGTGAAGATTCTTCTATCAATAAAGCTAACATTACTGTTGTGTAGAGGTGATGACCATTGTTTTCTAATGTTGTAGCATATGTGTGGGTTCAGAGCAGAGAGTGTGTGAAATTTCTCTTCATGTGAGTGAGTCAACCTGTTTTCACAATTGCATTGAATTTTTCATTTCTGTTATTTCATCAGCTGAGCACAAATGAAGAGCAGATCTTTTGGCAGAGGTGACTACAGCCCTGGCAGACCTATTGTATGTGCCAACATAATGAACCAAATGTCAAATAATTGCCTTATATGGAACTAAACTATGATGGATACAAAACCCCTAAATACATGTATAATTCCAGTGAGAATATGTCATTTAAAAAGAGAAATCTGTTTATCAAGAGGCCAGGAATAATGTCCTCAGACCCTGGGGGGATTGACCCAAATATGTATTATTGTTTCATCTCTCTGTACGCTGATTTAAAATACACTCTGAAGTGATATTTTTGGTGGCTGTTTTGGGGATCTACATTCTTGGGGCTTACATAGAACCACCAATGTGGCCATGTAAGGAAATTTCAGCCATGAAGGTTTAACAGGCCCTTTCAACGTGACACTAAGGCCTATTTTATGTAAGAAACATCAACAGGAACGTGTCTTGGCCTTGTGTATTTTTTTCCAAAACTACTATCCTTGCACCTGTTATTTGCTCACTTTTCTTTGCTGGCCACTCTTGAAAACCCATAAAACCTAAACAAAGTGACTTCTTAAAAAGGAGCCAATACCAATATTGTGATAAAGGGTGCTAAAATCAGACTTGCTAAATGAAATCCTGTTCAGTAAACACTTACAAATGGTGACTAGGGTTTTAAACTGTTTGTAATACTGTAAGCATTTTGATATCTGTCTGTATTGCTGCTAAATTCACAGCTATCAGGAGGATGATTTACTTCTCCGATCATCCAGCAGTGTTAAAACTGTGAGCTTCTTCCAAAATGTAAACTCAAACAGTGGCATTGTGTGACACTGTTGTATTTTCTGAAGGCCTCAGGTCCTAAAGTCAAACATCCTGGCTCTGCTCATGAAAGACATCCATGGAGAACGCATCAGCCACAGGGCAAAAGGTCACTGGCATAGCGGATCACCAGTCACACATGAACGAGAACAGGGCACTTCTATGCAACGGTCAACTCAAAAGGCTGCTGGGAGTGCACTTCCTCTCAGGGGTTGGCTGGGGTCACCAAACTGGGGATGAAGGGGAAGGTCTTGGCATCTAATGGGCAGATTGTGTGTCGTTTCCTGTGAGTACCCGCTAAACCCAACAAGGGGAATTTCCAACTCGTCTCCAGCCATTGTACTGAGATTATTTGCTGACCACTCCACAGCCCCCAAAACATTCAAAGGCAGGAAAGAGAAGAGCTCCTGCTGCTGACCAACAGGATATATTTACAGTAGAGGAGTCAATATGTTATTGTGAACTGGTTTCTGTCAGCAGCAGGATGTTTGGCAATCCTGGCAGCACATTTCTGGCACTGAGACCCTTGGACATTCCTTTGCATCTTGTTTTTATTCATGCACAGAGGTGAGCTGGGACTGTAGCGCAACAGGTAAAACACCTACCTGTGTGTGAGTAGATAAACCACAGGGCCCCGGTCAACAGAGCCCCAATCACAAAGGCTGCAAAGGCGATTCCCACTACTGTCGGCGTGCCCAGTATGTACAAGGTGGCTGCGGGTAAAAGCAGCACATAGTTCATACATGTTGAGAAGATGACAACTTGGACATATTTAAAACCTTTTAAACACAAATTTTACAGATCTCCCTAGTTGTAAAAATATTATTAAATCACAGGAACAAATTGTGTAAAATATATAAATGGTCAATAATTTCAGAAATTATTTAAACTCATCTAATTATTAAAAAGTATAATTTTATCATTTACATGACACCTAGGTCTTTTAGCTGATAGCAGAAAAATGACAGGCTATAGGAATTTTTATGTTGAACTGCTCTCTTTCAGCTTATTTTTATTTCATGTCACTTTCACAGCAGTGGAGTCGTCACCAGTCACTGTCCCTTCATCTTTCGGCAAATATTATGGCCTCTGTCTCTGTTACGCTAGCAAGTTCAACAACTGATACCAAATTCAGGCAGTTAGTTTGTGTTAGCTACAGCAGCAACAAAAACTAAAGTTGAATTTACCAGCTAGAGAATACTGTTGTAGATAAACAGAACATTGGCACAGTAAATAACCTCTTTTTTGGCTGCAATGGTTAGCCAGTTACTTAGCCAGCTAGCTTGTTAGCCGGCTAACTAGCCAGGCAGGTTTGTGATCTTGAATCATCAAGTTAAAGAGCCTGTGTTAATGGCAGTGCTGTGGTAATGTACAGTGTTGTAACTGTACATTAGCGTAGAGAAAACACTAGTCACAGAGAAGAAATCTGCAAAGAGCAAAAAGGCAGAAATTTTTTCTCTTTAGCTAATCTGATACAAAGTAAAAGTAGACTTTTGAGAAATGGCATTTTAAAACAATTTTTTTTCTATCAAAATGAAAATTAAATAATATAATTGAGGTTTGTGTTTAAATGATGTATTAAACTGCTATTTGTTGTCATTTACATATTTTACATAATTATTTCATGTGATATTTCTGTGGGCTTCCATAAAATTCACATTCACTGCAAACATGAAAATAGAGTATAAAGACAAAGAAATACAAATAATGAGAATAATATAGTGTGACACTTTTGTAAGACAACTTACTGTCATTAGAAGGGTCATATGGGCTCTGGGGTGGTTTGTGCATAGGAGTATCTGCAAAATAAAATTCCATCTAATTTAAAGGGAAGTTGACCCTCAGGTACAATGACATTCACATTTTCAATTAATTAAAGAAAAAAAAAGTTAGCCTGCAGCCACAGGCCAGAGGATCAGCAGATTGCTGATACTGCAGCAATTTTCTGTGGAATGTGATATAGAAACCTGCAGCAGGAAAATGCTGAAAGAGCAGCTATTCTGTAAGATGACCGTGCCCTATAGGATGAACCTGCTGAGTCTGAGCAGTTCTGCTTACTCATTTATTTCAAGCTATCTGGAATGCATTCAAAAGTGGAATTAGCTGTAATCATGTCTTAACAAACAATACAAAGACACTTGTGTATGGGCAAATTCAAGAGGAAAACCTGGTGCATGTCCAAGACTCCGGCACAATGGGTGCTATTTTTGGAAGGAACACCTTTGAGTTTCCATCTCACATATTGGGTGATGACAGATCATCAGAGAAGACTTTCATTACAGAGGGGATGATGGCCAGAGGACATCCTCTCTGCCACCCTCCACCTCCACCCTACCATTCCAATTGCAACTAGTTATGCTAAGAATGCAGAGCAGAGCCAGTAGCATAAGAGATGCTCAGCACACACTAAATTTAAAGGACTGCAGAGGAATGTTTCCTGTAAACTTGACTTAAAAATGTATATGGCTCTAGTCTAAGGTTTTTCATCTGGACACTCAATGTACTTTATCAAATTTTCTATCTATCTATCTATCTATCTATCTATCTATCTATCTATCTATCTATCTAATCTAATCTAATCTAATCTAATTGTCTTGGTGTCTATGGGGAACTTTAGTTTCCTACTTTAACAGAACCAGATGACACTCTATAAGTTAAACACGTGATTTGTGTTTGCAACTTTCAGCTGTTCACAAAGAACAACCGTGATATCTCTATGAACATCATTTGTTTATATAAGTTTGCTTGCTATGGAAAGAAAGAGTAATCCTGTGTAATGATTTGTTTTTGTTAAATTCTGACATCTCACGTTGAGCAGAAACCACTGCTGTCACCTCTGCAACACTCCTGACACAGGCTCCATAGTTACCAAACTGACTGCGGTTGGCTGTGACAGGTCTAGTTTTTTTAGTGTAATCATCTCAGATACATACAGTATAAGGCCATTAGCACCATATACTGTACCACTGGAATTCTACAGTACTCTCGCAGGATTCTTATGGTGGAACCACTTGCAAAGGTTTCTCATCAGTATATATATGTGATGGAAAAAATTAGGAGTGGAAAAATATTTTTCAATGCTTAATATTTTTCCTACTATTTTTAATGGCCACAATCTGGAGAGACACAAAACCTAACTCATGCACAATTAGATAATCCTTTTCTTTTGTGGTTTAAAATAATATGTTGTGAGTTTTATGGTAATTTTAATGAAGTGAGCTACTTGATACCCAGCTGGTAAATACAGCAGCCCATGAGGAGAACAAAATGTACTGTGCAGGCAATACAGAGATCATCAACTTAAGATAAACAATCTGAAGAGCCAACACATTCACTTTTAGAGCATATAATATGCAGTGCACTTTCAGCTTGTCCATTAATATTACTCTTAACACAATGACCTTGATATTAGATTTTTTCTTCTATTACTCTTTGCAAACTTAAATTCAAGTAATAATACTTGTACTGGTGTAATGATATACTGTAATCTACACTGCCAACCTTACAAATAAATGATACTGTTCAGCTCCATAAAAAAAGGGGATACAACATATTGATGTTGTGAAGCAATACATCTATTTTTGATGGCAGGGTTTTGAGGCTGTTATGTTTTTCCATGTACCAAGTTGGCCACAAGTGGCTCCCTTTAATTTGTTGATCCAATCTTTGGGATGCTGTCCAGTGCACAACTGCGACCCTTACAAAAGCAGCTTGTTTTGTTTGACATCTGAGCATAAAAGATGTCTCTGGGTAAAAAACCAGATCTTTGAAAATGATAGCCAATACCACCCCCGCTATGTTTATTGCATTTGATTGTTTACGTAATCTCCTCCATAAAAACATGCCACACTGGCATAGTGGTGTATCCTGCTGTCTACTTTGTACTAGCTTAACTTTCTCATTCACTCATCACTGCACATTCTAGGGTCTCCAATATCCTTATATGATACTTTAAAAAAACGAATCTCTTGGTTTGTATACACAATGTCAGAACATAATGACAGTGCAGTATCCCAGAAGGGAAGAGCTAGATATTTACATCTGGAACCAGTGAAATTTTGGAATATAAAAACAAACGTATTTAGATATGTCCTACATAATACATACACATGTTCCTGTCAATTGTTTCAGCTCAAACTGACTGGGATATTTTACAGCTTGGAATTTGACTAGCCACCTAAGATGCTACTTCAAAGTTTCTGGCATATCACTCACTCCTGCCTCCTTGTAGGATGAGTGTTTACCGCCTAAGCTCTTTTACAGTAATACCATCTTTGTATCAAACTCATGAGTCAATAAAGTTGACTCATACACATTTTAGGTCATAATTAGAAAAGTGTGATGGTGGTGCTCCCAGGTCCCCCTCCTCCAGGCTGCTCCCTCCCTCTGATCACACTCATAGCCTAAGATATAGCGAGTGAACGAATGAGTGACTAAACAAGTGATGATCGAGGAGCCTTTAGGGTCTGGCTGGGTTGCCAAAACCAACGAGAGGGCTACCCCTCCCTTCAAACACACAACTCCCTATCCACCATTCTAGTGGAAATGAGAGGCCACAGTGAAGGTCCTAAGTGGAAACAACTGGAACTTGGTGCTGTATGACTTCTCTTTTTCCACCGATTCCTCTGCATGGAATGGTCCAGAGCAACAGAACTGGGCCTCAGTGTTAGCACACTCCCCTTTATTGCAATGAGCCACACGCTAATATGTATACAGTACACACCCCAAAACACACACACACTCTCTTACTTGTGTACAGACATTTAATGTAAACAGACATATGTGCACACACACTAAGCGTGCATATGCATGCACCAGCATACACAAACCACACCACATTTAATGATGACCAGATGTGGGGAAATGATGTGCAGTGTTTTGTGGTTTGCGGTGCTGGGCTGAGCTTTCTCTGGCTCCTACAACCTCATACTGGCTTTTCCCTTTACTCCAGGTTGCTTATCACATTCTATATACTCAGTCATGGAAATCAGGCCTCAAAACATAACTAGCAAAAGGTCTTAAATCAGTTTTCATTTCCTCTTACTAACCTGTTATGCCTAGTTGAACAGATCCGTCCACGACAACCAGCGGCTTGGTAGACGTCTTCCTGTTCATCATCATCTTGAGGATATTGTTCGCAGTCAGAGAGTCACAGGTCTCACTTGGTTGTAAGCACTGTGTGGGTAGAATTTGAGAAAACAGGACACAGGAATTAAAAAATTTATAGTGAAGAAATCCTACAGAGAACAAACTTTATGCTGTAAAAGCCATTTACTCCCAGCAATTTTCTACAAAAGCAGTTTTGTTTTTGCGAGAAAAAAAATTTGCTGCACATTTCTCAGTCTCAAGTAAATGCCCTCTGTCATACCCTACCCAAAGTATAAACCTGTAAATTAAACAAATGGCTCATTGGCCTCATTCAGCTCATGATCATAATCAGAGCACAACAATTAGCTTAACAATCACAAGTCAGCCACTAGTCTAGCATGACCTTTTTCAGGCCAAAAGAAGTCCAGAGGAAAGAGCTTTTAAGAGACTGTATGAGCTGGACACATAGCACAGTAAGAGGAAAATAAAAATGATGGCTAAGATGGACGATTATTTTGTTCTGCAGCTGGATACATGGCAGACCTTGCTTTGATCCATGTATCCTGCTTAGCCACTAGACCTGATACTAGCTCAAGTCAGCCAGAGTAAAGTTGCTGCACTGCAACACAAGCGTCTTCTCAAACTAACTTTGCGTGGCTCTGGAAAGACTGAAACAACCTTAACGCTCTGTACAGTAAAGTCATTAAACATGCAAAAAGAATAAGAGTAAGACTATAATGCATACCGGCGCTAGTCTGTGGTTGGTCTGAGCTCTCTTGGTGCACAAAGACATCTCACAGTGCAGGAAGAGTAGGGACATGTTGAACCTTGAGTTGAAGGTGAAGCTGAAACTTTTCCTCTCCATCTGTGTGTGAGGGACAGGGAAGTCCCTCTGAGGATAGAACCGGACAGAGCCATCTGTGGGACAGACCGTCTCAATGAGGCTGTAGTCTGAGGCTACGCTGGGATTTGAGTTGGGAGAAAGGAAGCACGATATGATGGTGACCCCAAGATCCGGATCTGATGCAGTTGATGTGACCTGAAGCACATGAGAGAAAAGAAAAACAATTACTCTTCAGATAGATGGACATGGAACTGTCTTTCGTCATGAAAAGCCTCCATGTAAGACTGAACTCATGAAGGATGAATGAAAGTGCAATTTGCAAGAACACAATGCTACTCTGATAAGACCAGCTGAGTTGCCTTTTTGCTTTCTTAGTAAATATGAGTCTATAGCTAGGAGACACTTGAGCTTAACTTGGCATGAGGACTTGAAGCAGGGGGATCTGGCTAGTCGATCTGATTCCAGGAAGTCAATACTCCTAGCAAAGAAATGGTCTGGTAAATAAACTCATAATACCTTGTATTGTAGCTTAAATCGAGTTTAACTCTCATTTAGTGCTTTTAATCATTAAAATGTCAACATGTATTTTAAATTTTTTGTTAATAATATTTTAAAATGAAAAGCAAGGACAAAGGTCTTTTGGGAAAACATCCGAAATGCTCCTTAATTAACAGCAGCTGCCCCGCTGCCAGAGCACTGATGTGACACCACAGGGACCAAGACGCAAAGTAAACAAACTTGTAATGTAGAGGACAAGTCATGGGGTAGACAGCATGTTGGATATCGCATGGTATATAATTAATGCACACTATGGGATGCCATTATAAAACCAAATAATAAAAAATGTAATTTCTCCCTTATGGTTTCTGATTTTGATAGATTTACAGTGATGTACAGAGCAAAGATATAGGTTGTAACAGACAAAAATGCATTTCATTTCAGGTAGGCTTACTGTAAACAAGAAACAAGGTATAACATGTTAATTAGAGGTGCTTGTAGACTGAGTTTTTTTTTTTCCTTTGGTCAGAGCCAGGCTAGCAGTTTCCCCCACCTACTTCGAGACTTTATGCTAACCTAAGCAAACTATCTCCTGGGTGCTTCACAGGTGTCTATCCTCTGTCTTCTCATGTAACTACCAACTAGAAGGCAAATAGATGTATTTCCAAAAATCACAACTGTTCCTAGCTGCGTCAATTAATACTTTTATATTAACAATATATAGACAGTGCCGAGGATAGAGTTAGGTGGAAACAGATGATTCGCTGTGGCGACCCCTGACGGGAACAGCTGAAAGAAGAAGAAGATCAAATGACTAATGTGAAAGAAGTTGAACATAGTCACAAACCCTGTTCTTGTCAGCTCAACAAAGGCTTTAAGCAGCTTTCAGCTCATTCTTTGGGTTTTACTGCTGCAACATTAATGTTAAGCTCCCGTTCACCACTCTCTTTAGCCCTGTTTCCAGAAGCAGCTGGAAGTGATGTTTTCAGCAAAAAGGCTATCTGGTGAGCATAGCAGAGCATCTAGCAGATAAAGAGCCAGATATTTTTCTCAAAAGTTGGCAGAAACACAAATGGAACTGAATGAAGAGTGAGTATTAATCATCTGATCATCATGTTGACACAAAAATGACTTCCAATGGCTGTCTGCAGATTGTGTTAATAGGCAATATCAACTGCACCCAAAGGTGCAAAAAAAAAAAAAACTTTAATTTGCTCTTTTCAGCCTGTTTTTACCAGAAAATTGAGCAGGAAAACATCAAGTCAGGAAGAAAATCAAGAAACTGTAAAATGATAGCTGTTTGATTCAGGATGGATGATGTGTATCATATTCATCCCTGCTCACTAGAAAATTTGTCAAAATGTAGCTCCCACAGTGAGTGTCTGGAAACCACAGTGAGGACCACTGTCTTGATATTGACACAAAGGCAGAAACGCATACAAATGTCTTTAAGTAGTATTTCAATCTCAGTTATGATGGTAGTAATATCTTCCCGTCTGTAACCACAAGACAGTCCACTGCTCCCCCTTTTAGCTAGTCAGTGATGGTATCCTCATTAGAAAGGTTTGGCTGAAAAACAGGCGTAGACACATAAAAACATTTGAATCATGCAGATTAAGGTTTATAATGTATATTGTCAACAATGTATTATACTATATGTGAACAATCAGGGAGAAGTATGTCTTAAATAAACAAAAAGACATTTTACTACTAGCAAAATACTGTACACTTGTGCACCTTTTGGCCATAGCCTCAGGTCGTGTTTCAGCTCAGTGTGAGTCCTGACGAGAAGGTTACGCCATAGGCTCATACACAGAAAACTCTTTGTAACCCGCTGGCTGTCAGAGAACCATCTCCTGCTGATATCATCATATTGTAAATCATATGTTCAAAGGACCTCAGAGTATGAGCCCTTGCCATCTCTTACATGGCCTCCCATAATTACTCTTGCAAAACAAGGATTTGCAGCCAGAAAGACACACTGAAGGAGATCCACTGAATGTGAGGGGTAGACGTGAGGGTTAGCTTTGTAACCCCAACTAGACAAAGCACAAAGGGACCTTGTGGAGAAGAGTTAAAATCCCAGACAAAGTACTCTCAGCATAGTTTTCTCTGTTTTTATGAAAGCATAAAATTTAGAGACAAAAATACAAGTTACACAGGGCAACGGTGCATTGCTCTGCAAAGCACACCTGACACTGAAATAAGAATGTTAGAAATGCAAAGCATACCTCCACAAAGACCTGTTGATTTTGTGACACAGTGAAGAAGGCCTGGTGAGAGGGACTGTTGGATGACAATGTGTTGTATAACTCCATACTGAACGTCATGTTGCTGAGCGGTTTGCTGGCTGGTGCCGGTACAATCCTGGGAAGTGTTTCTGAGGTTTCCTGGTTCTTTCTGTATGTGCAATTGAACTATGAGGGAATAAGACAAAGCCAACACAAATGTCAGCAGGGAGCTGATATCAGATTCTATTGCTGAGCGCTCCCACCATACATGAATGTGTCTTAGTGAGTGACCACATCAAAATGAATCAGAAAACAGGGAGGGAACCTAAGAGATACTGTATAAACAAGAACAATAAGTGGGAGACTAGGAATGAATGAGAGAGAGGAAAATAAGTCAGAGAATAGGGGACAGAATGGAAAATGGAGTTCACAAACAGGCACCATGCAAAGACAGAGAGATTTCAGGACCCAGTCTTAAGCAGCACCAAGGGACTGACTCTGGGAAATGGAGTTCCTTCCAACTGTGCATGATTCACAAAGAGATGTAGATAATCAGTGGTCTTAACTTGTCAACTTTCACCCAGCGCTGAAGTGCAGTTCTCACAGAGACAAAACCACAGTGAGTCCACTGTCTTACCACTACAATGGTCGAGTGCTCTGTAGGTTCTGTAAATGTCCTCTCTAACTCCACTGGGCCCCTCGGAAACTGCACGTCTCCAGATTCCAGATCCTCATAATCCAGCGGCCCACCACTCTCATCCTTGGTCTGAGCCTGACTTATCAAAACCTGCAATCCACAGAGGAGTCAGTGATTTACAAAACCTAAGCCACAGGTTAGCAAGTGAAAAGAAAACTTCGACAAAAATCATTTCAAGACTTTTTTTAACAGATCTAGTTGCAAGTAGTGGGTTCAGAAACTGGAATCTTTGAATGTGTCGCCAAAACATTCTGTAATCAATAAGAAAGAAAAACAACAAGTAAAACAAATGATCTTTGATGTGTGGGGGGACCTTGACAATTAAAATGAATCTTTTTTTACCACAGGTCTGAGGTTATCCCTGCATCCCAGTGCTAACACAAAGGATGACCTTGGACATGTGCCCAGGTTTTCAATCAGCAACAGACAGAAAATGTATTGTTCCAGTTTGTTCCCCCATAACAGACTGCTAAAGGTCGGCTAGGAAAGTGGTCCATCCCTGCTTGTTAGAACAAACACAATGAATGAATGCATTCCATAATAATGAAGATAACTAGGGGTTTCAAATGTGAATGTTGAATCCCATAAAAGCACGCAAGCATTTACCATTACATGGAAAGGTCATAACAAGAATTTGATTCGTGTAATTACATATAAAAATGCAGTGACACTGCAGCAATAGTGTAGTTTTCTGTTTTCCATTCATACACAAAAGAGGTTAAAGCTGATTTTGAACACATCTGTGGAAACACAGTGTAGATGTCAAGTTTCTGACAGGGCATGTCCCATGGCAGTCACTGACTGGCATTTGAGAACTGGCGTTGCAAGAAGACACGCTGTCAGCTCCTGTGGTGAGCGGCTTGCTCATGTGCCATTAGTAACTTCAGTGTGTTAGTTCCACATGAGCCCTTTCCATCCTAACAGTCCCAGTTGTCTTATCAAAAAATATTTTTAATTTTAGTTTGGCTTTAAAAACATTCTTTGTATATTTGTCAGGCCACTTTCATATTTGTTTGTTAAGCAGTTTTATAGGTGTGACTCCTTCTAAACTACAATGTAATGACAGGTATTATACTTACAGAGTTGATGTACAGGACCATTGGCACACCCTCCATGGAATATACAATGGTCTGACAGCCAGTTAGATTAGTTTCCAGTGTATAGTGGGTGGCATTGACCGTTGCTTTGCATTTTGGGTCTTGGAGTGTGAGGTTGGCATGAGTAAACCCGTTTGCCTGTGGAAACATAAAAAAATGGCAAACCTGATAAGATCAGAAAACCTTTACTTTATTAGTGAATTTTCAGAATAGTTAAAAAAAATTCAAAGCAGTTGTGTGAGACTTTTAGTTCCCAGGAAGAAACAAGGCCCACAAGGTGGTTCTAGCTTCTCCTAATTACAGTCTAGGCTAGTTTCCATTCTGTGATGTGGGTTGAGTGAGCTGTCCCCATGCACAGATGTTGGGAATCGTCCTGCTTGTTTCGATGTCAGCCTGTGTATACCAGGGACACTGGTGAAAAACTGTAAAATAAGGGCAGCATTTCTTATTCTACTTCAAATTATTTTACTTTTATAGACCTGAAACCTCCTGTAACCACTTTATGTTAGTTATGAATGTCAAACCTATTCACTATGGTAGCTCACAAATGATCTACAAGTAACTATTAGTGTGTTAGTTTGTTTGCTATCAATACACTGACCATCACGGTCATTAATAAATTGGATGTCTGCACACATTGGATGCTGTATGGATAAAACATCATTGCAGGTGTAGCTTAAGTATCAGCCTCTTAATTGGTACGGATGTTGGTATCCTCTTTTGGTTGTCCTCCATCAAGCCATTAAATAGGAAGAAAAACTGTATTGTATGTATTTGTCTGTCTTTTTATCAGAAGAGGGAAACAGCAGTCTGTTTCTGTGCTGTAAGGAACTGTTCAAGTAGATGGCAGAAAGGAAATGCATCCATTTAATTTATTAAAAAATTTGTCTTTGAGTTCTCCATGTCCAGACATCGGGTTGTCGGGGCCCCTGCCTTCGACTGCTGCCCAATCCACTGTGCACTGGCCCCTTACGGATCCTCCTGCAGGTGGTGGGCCCACGGGAGGACGTCCCCACGTCGCTTGTTCGGGCTAAGCCCGGCCGGGTCCCGTGAGGGGAGGCCCGGCCACCAGGCGCAACCCCGGGCCTGGCTCCAGGGTGGGGCCCCAGCTGCGCCATGCCGGGCGACGTCACGGTCCTTGATTTTAATCTATTCATAAAGGACTTTTGAACCACTCTTAGTCTGACCCGTCACCCAGGACCTGTTTGCCTTGGGAGACCCTACCAGGGACATATAGCCCCCCGACAACATAGCTCCTAGGATCACTCGGGTACTCAAACCACTCCACCACAATAAGGTGGCTGTTCAAGGAGGTGGAGGAGAGGAGCCAGCTGAGGTGGCTCAGGCATCTGTTTCGGATGCCTCCTGGTCGCCTTCCTAGGGAGGTGTTCTGGGCATGTCCCACCAGGAGGAGGCCCCTGGGAAGACCCAGGACACACCGGAGGGACTATGTCTCTCGGCTGGTCTGGGAACGCCTTGGCATTCCCCCGGAGGAGCTGGAGGAAGTGTCTGGAGAGAGGGAAGTCTGGGCATCTTTGCTTAGACTGCTGCCCCCTGCGACCCGGTCCCGGATAAGCGGAGGAAAATGGATGGATGGATGGATGGATTGTCTCTGAGTTGTGTTTTGTTTGAAAAAATGTTTATGTGTATGTACAGGTCTCTATTTATAAGTACTTTATCTCTTTTCCTAATGCACATTCCTTTGCTTGTTGATATGTACGTACAAACTGAGAGCCGATGTACCAGAGTCAAATTCCTCATGTGTCCAACACACCTAGCCAATAAAGCTGATTCTGATTCTAATGTTGCTTCATGACAGTGTGATTAAGCTAAACTATTAATTATCATCAAAAACTAGTGTTAGCGGCAGCAGGGTCTATGATGGGTAACAATCATGCTGTCCACTCACTTGTAAGCTCTCTTTGTCGATGCTAACCACCATCCTCGTGTCCTCACACTGCACACTGTAGCCAACACTCAGAGCGCCCTGCTGCTCCTCAGACTCTGTGCTCCCCCTGGCCAGGTTGTTGTGGGAGGAGCTACCCTGCAGGTAGTGCAGGCGTTCATACGCAGGGAAGGGAAATGGCAAACCGGTGTGTCGTGAAGCAGTTCCAACTCCTGGATCAGGACCGGAGTCAGGCAGGATGGAGCGCTCTTGAGGCTCCTGTTCATCTGGAAGTCACACATAGTCATAGCCTCGTGACGCTGATTTACAGGCAGGAAAATGAAACAGGACTACGACTATAAAACCATGTCAAGGTTTCACACTAGTTTCTTTATAAGGGAACTAAAATATTATGAAATGATAAGTTGTGAAAAATCTGGAGCAGCTGCACATTGTATTTTAGCAATAAAATAACTGAAAACAATTGTACTATTTCTGCTGCAGTATAAACTAAACTGTGTGGAGGATGTTTCTTCCATTTACCTGGCTCTCGAAGTCTGATACTGAAGTGGTTAGCCACAGGAGTACTGGTGTAAGATGTGACTGGACTATAGTTATGCTCCTCTGCCCACTTGATCAAGGCTTGTGGCCCAGATGGTAAGGGCTGCTTGGCGGATTTTGATACTTGCATTAGCTTGTCTGTATCTGAACTAACACCGATGGTATCAGAGGCCTGTGGACAAGAAAACAGACAAAAATAAATGCAGGTTTCTTGAAGGCCATATATTTAAGGCAATTTTTTATAAACTCAAGAAACAAAAGATATGATTTACTGTTCAGGAATTATCACAGGTCGTTAATTTCAAGTACAGCCCTGCACTCAGCCCGTCAAGTGTGACTCATGAAAATGAGTGTGAGGTAATGGGTGTGTTATAACTCGATCAACGCTGAAAAACCAACATGTTAGTTTGCTCAGAAGAGCTTGTGTCCTCCTGCCCTCCTGCATACCCTCCCTGTGTGAGGGAGGACGGATTCCTTCTCACAGCCATTTCCCACACTTTCACGTCTCTTGAGCAATGATGTGAAGAACCCAGTTTCTGACAGAAGTGAGGCCGTAGTTTTATGAGGCTCTCCCAAACACTGGTTGCACAAGCAAAGCATCCTGTGTACCACTGATGTCAAGTACTGTAAAAGTCACACTGTCAGCTACGTGGCCTTGTCTTTGGACTGACTATGCTTGTGGCTTAACGCAGAAGATAATGTGAAGCAGTACTTGTCAGTAGCTGCGTCTGTAGCAGGTTCTGGATTGGTGTAAACACAAACAAACCTAAAGTGGATTTTTCCACAAAAAACTGTGTTAAAACTCAAGGGTAACTATTTAAACACATATTCTCCTTTGATTTTAGCAGCTTGAGAACATGAACATGTTTTATATGTTGGAAATTTTCTGAACTAAAATATAGTCCATACTATGGTCAGAGAGGAGCAGTTATTCATTTGTAGTGTTAAAACACTGTAATCCTTTACTAAATGAGCTTACACTAAAGGAGAACCTGCTACAGACACTGGCGTTATTGGTATTATTGCCTATGTACTGTATAAAGACTGATACCACTGATCCTGAGTTTATGTACAATAATTGGTTTTTAAAAGGCTTATATAAACATGAATATAACCTTATTACTGAAACTGTACTTGATTTTCACCAAACAGTAGTAACTTGCCATTTATTTAAGGTAAAGTCTATGACCTAGAGCTACAACAATTACTTGCTCGATCAATTAGTCAGTGGAAAGGAAATTCAGCTGCAGCTGTTATATACCAAATAACAAGCACTGATGTTTACAGCATTGCTAGTGGCTTTGAGCTGCAGTGTTCAGAGCTCCATGCTAAAATCAGCAAGTTAACAGGTCCACCATGACAATATTAAGATCCTGAGTGGTGGATGAACAAACCAACCTACACATCTTTGGCTGCAGGAACTTGTGATAAACATTTGCCACTATTCTATTGCAAAATGATTAATGGGAAAAAATCAGTAGGTTAATCAACTATGAAAATACCAAAATGTGCAAGTTAGTAACAGTTTTGAATCTGTGTTGTCATTTGCAAGCCAGTAAATCCACAATGCATGGAGGAAACATGCTCTAAATTCCTAATCCAAACTGCTACACTGTGTGCTACCATAACAAATACACACAGTATCTGGTGGGCTGCTCTATTAAGTTTAACCGGCTTTGTCCTGACATTACACTCATATTCCCTGACTAAGTTTCTGTACAGCAATGACTAGGCAGCTGTACAAACACCCCATATCTGGAAAAAGTGCAGAGTCAGGGTTATAACATCCCTTTAGGAATATCACCATTGCACACAGGGAACACAGAACCTCTTGCACATTTTTACTGTTACAGAGCTAACACAAGGGTGCACAAAAGACAACAGCAAATGGATGGGTAGCATGGCTCGGCCACAGAGTATGTGCACATTGTCACTAGGCTCAGCAGAATTAGGGCAAAGAATTTAGGGAAATGTACAATACTGGTATATTTCTTTTGCTTTTACTGCACAGTTTTTTGTCTTTGGTTCTTCAAACCAGTTTTTAAATTCCATCCCTGAACAACTGCCAAGTCCCCATCAACATGATCTATGGTTAAACTATTCTTCCACAGTGTACATAGGTGTCATATTCTTAGGGTTCCTAATGGCTCACAGAGACTTGAGTAGCGCTAATGTAGATTTAATATCAAAACAGTATACTCGTGTTCAGCACTGATTTGAGTGAAACCATAATTCTAAGTAAAGGGCTGATATATTGCAGTAATTAACCTCTATTTCTCTTTTGTGTGGCAACAAGGCCTTAACAGCTTGCAGCTTAACAAAGCGCCTGAACCAAGTGCTGCTTATAACTCACATTACAACTGACGGGAAGCAGCTCAGACTCTACTTGCAGCTAAAGTGCTGAGCCTTGGCCCTGAAAATATGCAATACCCCCCCCTTATTCCTGCTCCTGTCTCTCTAAATGACAATCCCTGGAGCTGCCGCAATGAAGTTTCACAGCTCCTCTGAACCTGTTATCACCACCCTGTCCTGCAGTGGGGACCAGGCGCCAATTCAACGCCCATTCAGGTGTGACAAATTCAGTGGCCAGTGGTGCAAAGTAATGACATTTCATGACTTTTACACCACCGTGACAGATACCAGTGATGAAATCTGCAAAGGCAAAAAAGGCATCTGTGGATGGAAAGCTTTTGTCTGTTGTCACGCTGCTATCTTACCACCATGTTCAGGTTGCCTGTCACACCGTGGGCCTTGATGACCCAGTTGACAGACCTAGCGCACTTGAGCAGCAAGACAATGTCACGATGCACCGGGACAACATCTTCCAGAGGCTGTATATCCACTATGACATCCACCTGGAAAGCACTGCAGAAACGTAGGGAGAAAAAGAGTTCTGGGTGGTTAGAAGGATGTAGTGTTATCATGCCTCCTGTGTCTGGCCAATTAATTAAGGCTGGACGTGTTCCCAGAAAAAAGCAGACATATGCAATACAGACCAGATAGCACCAGAGCAAGATAGAGCACAGCTATCAACTCGTTCCCAGTTTTGTGGTCTTTTGGGTGTACAGAATAATCATTACCCTGCAGGAGTGAAGAGATTATCTGGCAAACTGGACTTTTAGACCCAGTTTTGAAATATCTTTCTCAAAAGAACCAGCCTTCATGTTAGTTTCCATCCAAAACAAGCTCTGCAGAGATTAGTGAGACCATCTTGACCTCAAAAATAAACTATGACAACATGTATTCTTGGCTTTTGACTGCTTTGGCTGCTCACCTGCTGGAATTTGGGGCTTGGAGCTCAATGATGTGGACTTCTTGGTCTAGGTCCAGCCCAGACATGACACAACCTTTTGATGCTTGTGGTTCCATGTAGCTGCCCAGGTAGTTCAGAGACAGGAACTTGGCATCGATCTTGCAAGTGTCAGAAAACACTGGATCTGAAAGAGGAGAGATGTTTGTGTTACTGCTCAGGGGTTCTGTAGGATATTTTGATCTCCCACAGGAAAAATACAGCTTTGTGTTACCTCTCCACCACAGAGAGGCCAAAGCACGAGGTCACCTACAGAACAGCACCCTGGGAGGAATTCTGTGTCCTGCTGACAGAGACCCCGATGGCTGTATGTTTGCTTTTTCCAGCTGAGA